CATAGATATAGTGAACAAATAAGGCAAATCACAGATGAAGGAAAGTATCTACAGCACGTATAACTAATATAGGTAATTAGAATGTGAAAAGAACAAATCAGACAAAAGAGAGAGAGTTAACAAAAGAAAGACTCTGCAATTCACAGAAAAGGTAATTTAAATTATCATTAAATATTTCACAAGATGCTTAACCTCACTAGAGAAAACATGTATTAAAGACAATGAGATGCCATTTTGCATACAGCCAAATTAAAAGTCTCCTAACACCAAGTATTGAGGAAAATGAGAGTAACAGTTTTTCTCATACTCTGCTGGTTCATTAGAGAGTAAACTATATCAGTTGTTTGAACAGCAAAGTGGCAACAACCCTTAGGTTGAATGGACAAATTTATGGTCCAGCAACTCTACTTTTTGATATATTTCCTAGAGTAATTCTTACACAAGTGGAGAAAGAAATGTGTACAAAACACGTTCAGTTACATCCTCTGTAACTGAAAAATTGAAAATGACCAACATATCCATCTTTTAGAGAGCAAATTACGATATAGTAACAAGGAAATGCCATAAAGCCATTACTTGACTTAATTAGAACTACCCATATAAGGACATGTACAGAAATGATAAGCACCAATTTAGGAAGTGGATGAAGAAAAATAGTACACCGGAGTTCTAACATTTCAGCTGATGGATATGCAAGTGTTAATAATTTTCTCCACATTTTTGATGGCTAAACTATTTCATGATGAAGAGGTTCCTCTATAACTGATGTTACACTTTCCTGTCCAAAAAGTCCAAGGATCATCCTTGAATTTATCCCTTGGAAGCTGAGATGGTAAAAACTCTACATCTTTTTTCCTTGGGACTTCCAGGCTATATTAGCATCATCTTCTTCCAAGTTTACAGCTGTATCAATATACACTATAGGCTTTACAGCTTCCTGGAATTTAGGTGGGAAAGACTGGGACAAACTGTCTATCCTATCTTCCATTGGTTTAGTAGGAACGGAGGGATCTGGTGTTGGCATTTGATAACAATGTTGACTCTGAGGAGTTGAAGTTTTTATAGTCACTCCTTCATCAACCACATCACATGGGTGAGGACTAAGTGGGGGTGGTTGAGGTGAATTTGCCATTTCAGTGCCATACATCTGAGGAGCCTTTGCTACATCATTAGTTCGGATGTTTAAAAATGTCACTTGACTATCTGAAACAATGCCATCAACTTTAACTGTTTCCCACTGTCAGTTGTACTCAGAGGCTTCTTTTGGGCCTTTTTCTTATATTAGGTATATTGATATGCAGTGGAAGAGGCCCTTTCGATTCTTTTCTTTAGGTTTCCTTGAGGTCCCTTTGCAGAGGCTGCCTACAAAACACAGGTTGGTCTTAGTTTCTGTCTTTTTTTTTTTTTTTCCTGGGTTCAGTTATTTATTCTGTCATTCTCCCTAGGCATTTAGTTTGCTGAAATACTATTATAGCAAGAATTGCTTTGCCCCAGTAATGAATATTCCCTGGCCAAATGGGTTCTCCTGTCAGATTTTAAAAGACTATTCCTGTCCCCAGGTCATAAACGGACAGTGCTAGAACCTATCAACTGCCACATTCTTTGTGGCCAGCAGCCTCCACCCTCCATGGGTCAAAGGGGATGGAAGGCAGGATAGAGCCAGGTTCTCCTTGGTCATTTTTCTACAGCCTAGGCAGCTTTTCTGGGATTTTTTTCCCTTCCAGTTTAGGTCTAGTGCTTAGACAGGCTTATCACTATAGGGGCCCATGCAGCGAAGATCTCTCTGCCGAAGAGACTACTAGTAAGATCAACACAGCATGGCCCATGTCTTAAAGGGCCAGTAACAGACCAAAAAACAGATGAGAGGATCACCAAAACCAGGGCTGATAGATGGGAATCTTTAAAACAGGTAAACACTTAACAGATTTCTTCCATCTACTTTACCTTTGACAGACCAACTCCAACTGCAAGATTTCACAATAATCTAGAACTCTATTTAAATAAAACATTACAATAAAACATCATCTTAGACTTATAGGTGGCCCTTTCTTCAACTCATTTTACCTCTGACAGACCAACTCCAATTGCAAGATTGTATAAAAAAGAAATGTGGAGAGAGACAACCAGAGAGGAGCCCCCAAACCATGGCTGACAGATGGGAACCTATAAATTGAGCAGCTGTTTCCCAAGAGACTACCTATATAGAACCAGTGCAATACTGGCCATCTCTTAAAAGGGACAGTAGCAGATACAAACAAAACAAGACAACCAGAGGGAATTCCCAGGCCCAAGGCCTACAAACAGATGAGCACCTAGAACAGATCAGAAAGGAGTACATATCCTTAGGTTCTTGAGTCCCATTTAACCATGACTCCTAGATCGGTGGTGCCACAGATGTCCCCAGAAAGAGGGATCAGATGTTCCTACAAAGAGGAACCAGGTGTGTGGAATCAAGTGTACACACCCAGGGATTTGACAGATGGCCCAAGCTGTCACGACTTTCCTGATTTCAGTTTGCTTTTTCTCAATTCAGTTTGCTTTTTCTCAACGTGAACCATTATGGTGAAACCTGTACTGTTCAGAGAGAGAAGGAGTGAGTTCCCTGAAACAAGAGGAGCTTCCGTAGCTGTTGGGATGGTTCCTTAGTCCTTCCCTTTACTCACTGGAACTGCTCCTTTAATTAGACCTGAGGCAAATTCGCCCTTCTCTTAACTCTCCTGCAGTTGGCTCTCCACAAGTTTGCCAGTACCATGAATCCTGACATGGATGTGTGATTCCTTGGAGAGCCAGGCCTACCCAAGAAATCTGGCGCCAGGGGCTGCTCTTGGGTCTTATCTGGGGTGTCAAATTTGTTTCCTAAAGCTTGGTCGCTGTCCCCAATGCCAATCCAGTAATGAGGACATGGTTTTGAGAAAAAGGAAAAAGAATGTTTATTGTTTTGCTAGCAAAGGAGAAACAACAGGGTGTTCCATCCCAAAGGCTGTGATTCTTGATCTTACAATTTCTATTATGTTATCTTATTTAGTCCTCACAGTGAATCTGTGATATAGGTGTTATGAGATTTATTTTAATTATTAATGAAACTAAGACACAGAAATATTAGGTTATTTGTTGAGGATAAGATTATAGTAGAGCCAGACTTCAAACTCTGCCTATCTTGTATCTAGAGCCATTGTGTTTATCACCCATGCTGTGCTAGTGCTATTCCTGATTGTCAGTTTGAATGGTAGTATGGATTCTTCTTTTATGTAGCAAGTAATCTTGTAATCTCAGGGTGCTTTCCTCTCACCAAATTCTTTGTATTAAGGTATTTGTGCTGTTTGATTTAGAGACTAGTTTTATGTCTTTTCTAAATCCAAATTGGTGGAGTTTTTTGAGAATTTTGGCCATTTATAGGCTTGATATGTCTAACACACTAGGCTTCCTCCTTACTGAAAGCAAACTTATTTATTGTTCTAACCAAATTACCTTCTCTTTTCAACATTTCTAAGTCTGCCTTTCAGTCTCATCCAGTAGTTGCTGCTAGCCAAGTGTGGCAATTGATACTTGAAATGTGGCAAATCCTAATTGAGATATACTTTAAGTATAAAATACATATTTTTTTTGTAATGTGAAGACTTAGAAAGAATGTAAAATATCTGTTAATTTTTCATATTGGTTACACATTGAAATGATAATATTTTAGATGTATTAGGCTAACTTATACTAAATTAATTTTTCCTGTTTGTACTTTTTTATGGTGCCTATTAGAAATTTAAAATTAAGTACATGGCATGTGTTATATTCCTAATAGACCGTGGTATTCTAAATCTCCTAAATCCAGAATATCACGATCAAGGATGATTCTCCATATTAAGTAAATCTGCTGTTTAATTTGGTCTGAAACTCACTAGCTTCTAAATTTATACTAGTTTTTTCATGACGCTTCTGATACATAAAGAAAAAGGTAGTTTACCATTATTGCTATATTCAGAGTATTTTAAAAACTCATGGGTCATAATTTATAGTGAATGTTTTTATTTTTTTAACATACTTTTTTTTTAAAAGAGAGAGAGAGTGAGTTTTTTTTTTGTAATATTTATTTTTTAGCTTTTGGCGAACACAACATCTTTATTTGTATGTGGTGCTGAGGATCGAACCCCGGCCGCACGCCTGCCAGGCGAGCACGCTACCACTTGAGCCACATCCCTAGCCCCTATAGTGAATGTTTTTAACTTGAAAGTTGTTTAAAATATTATAGTCAGATTAGTGCCAAAATAGTGATGCCCCTGACACTTTGTTTAAACCTCCCTAGTCATGAAAGAAGATGGCATTAAGAATTGAGCAATAAAATTTGTATCTCTCTTAAGATTCTTTTAACATTTGGTTCTGGTTGCTTGATAAAGCTAGATTTCCTTAATCTAGAACCTGTTTTTAAAAATTAGGGAGAATCTATTCTCATTGCTTGATTAAACAGTGTTGTTTTATTTATGGAAAGATTTTTAATTACTCCTTAACTTTTTCATATTTCAAGGGGCTAGTAAGGATAATTCTCTAGCTTTGTACTTTTTACTATTGATAGTAGGGGTATGCTGTCTTCTGTTGTGTAGACTGATTTAAATATAGTATTCATGATTTATGTCTGTTAAAAATAAAATTCTTTAACCTTTTTTATTCTCTGACTTTGGTTATTTCAAATATCACTATTCTCCATTATTTTAAATATTTTACCTTAGGAACTAAAATACCTACCATGTTACTTTCTATTAAAAAAATAGTGTTTTTTTTAACCTAGTATAAGTTTCTTATTTTAAACAAATAATATGCTAAATGATGTAGCATATTTTGGGTTATTGGTCAACTTAAAAAGGAGGGTATTTTTGGGACTGAGAGCTAATTAGAGATAACTATAGTACCTGATAGAAATTCAGTTATCTTTTGAACCAAGCCTTCTAATAATTACTCTGTTTATATTATGGTTAGAACTTTGTTTTTATTTTAACATTTGTATTTTCTTGTAGATGAACATTTCAGTAATGCAGAGTCCTTTGGTTGGAGTTACAACTACTACACCTGGAACAGGTAAGTAGCTCAGGCCTTGTGTATGTGTGGTAAACACTGTACCAGCTGAGTTATATCCCCAGCGCTTAAGTAACTCCTTTTTAACAACAAAGTCTATTTTTTATTTCTTCACTAAGGATAATATAAGACCTTTTCTGATAATTTCCAAAAGTTTTCCTTTTACGTTTCAAACTTGGAGACTTTCTCAAATGTTAGTAAGTTCCTTTAGAATGGAAATACTTTGTATATATTGATTTGTATATATATTGATATAGCTATATATTTGTATATATATTGATTGTTTACTTAGTGTTTTTTCATTTTTTATTGGTGCATTATAATTGTACATAATATGTTGCTGTGTACACAATATAATTTCCTAGTATTTGATATACTAATATCATTCTCCAGTATTTCCCTCTTTTTCTCCCCCACCCCTCTACTCTACAGATCTTCCTTTAGTTTTTATTAGATGTTTTTGCTCAGTTTTCACTTTAATTTTTTTTATATATTTTTTTTTAGTTGGACACTTTATTTATTTTTATGTAGTGCTGAGGATCTAACCCAGGGCCTCACACGTGCTAGGTGAGCACTCTACTGATGAGCCACAACCCCAGCCCCCACTTTAATTCTTTAGGATAAATACCAAAGAGTGATATTTGGTGAGTTGAATGGTGGTTCCCTTCCTAGACTTTTTAGGAGCCTCCATACTGTTTTCCATAGTGGTTGTACTTATTTACAATAGTATAAGAGTGTTTTTTTTTCACACCCTCTTAGGCATTTATTATTGTTTATATTCTTGTTGACAGCTGTTCTGACTGGTGTGAGATGAAATCTTAGTTTTGATTTGCATTTCTGTAATTACTGTTGGTGTTGATCATTTTTTCATATATTTATTGGCCACTTGTATTTCTTTTGAGAAGTGTGTGTTTAGTTCATTTGCCCAGTTATTATTGTTTTTTATGGTGTTAAGTCTTTTGAGTTCTTTGTATATTCTGGATATTAATCTTCTGTCAAAAGAGTAGCTAGCAAAGCTTTTCTCCCATTCTTTAGGTTCTCTCTTCACATTCTTGTTTTCTTTGCTGTGCAGAAAGTTTTTTTTTTTTTTTTTTTTGGTTCTGGGGATTGAACTCGGGGGCACTCGACCACTGAGCCACATCCCCAGCCCTATTTTCTATTTAGAGACAGGGTCTCACTGAGTCGCTAAGTACCTTGTTGTTGCTGAGGCTGGCTCTGAACTTGTGATCCTCCTGCCTCAGCCTCCTGAGCTGCTGGGGTTACAGGCATGCGCCACTGTGCCAAGCCAGAAGCTTTTTAATTTGATGCCACCACATTTATTAACACGCGGCATTATTTCCTGAGCTCTAGGGGTTCTTTTGAGAAAGTTGTTTCTTGTGCCCATCTTTTAGAATATTGACCTTACATTTTCTAGGAGTTGCAGTTTCATGTGTATTTCCTATGTCTTTGATCAATCTTGAGTTGACATTTGTGTAAGATGAGAGATAAGGATCTAGTTTCATTCTTCTACATATGGATGATTAGTTTTCCTAGTACCATTTGTTAGAAAGGCTGTTGTTTCTCCAGTGTATGTTTTTGGCACATTTGTGAAATATCAGATGAATATATCTGTGTTGAGTTTGTCTCTGTGTCTTCTGTTCTGTACCATTGGTCTATGTATCTGTTTTTATGCTAGTACCATACAGTTTTTGTTACTGTAACTGTAGGATAATTTGAAGTCAGGTATTGTGATGGAAGCACAGAATTGCTTTGGTTATTTGGTGTATTTTATTCCAAATGAATTTTAGGACTGTATTTCTAGTTCTATGAAGAAAATGACATTGGTATTTTGATGGGGATTGCATTGATCATATATATTACTTTGGTGCTATAACCATTTTAACAGTGTCATTTCTGCATATTCATGAACATGGGAGTCTTTCTGTCTTGTGTTTTCAATGTCTTTCCTTAGTGTTCTGAGTTTTCATTGTAGAGGTCTTTTACCTGCTTGGTTAGATTTATTCATAGGTATTTTTTTCAGTCTATTTTGAATGGAATTTCTCAGCAGATTCATTATTGGTACATAAGAAAGCTATTGAGATTTTATCTGCATATATTGAAATAACTATGATTTTTGTTCTTAATTCTATTTATGTGAGTTACATTTATTAATTTGCATATGATTAATTATCCTTCCATCTCTGGGATGAAACAAACTTGGACATGATATAAAAATCTTAATATGTTGTTGAATATGTTTTGCTAATACTTTAAAGGGTGTTTTCACCTGAGTTCATCAGGTATATTGGTCTGTATTTTTTATTCTTGATGTTTTGGTATGAGTATGATACTGACTTCATAGAATGAATTTGGAAGTCATTTCATCCCTTTCTGTTTCATGGGATAATTTCAGGAGTGTTGGCATTATTTCTTCTTTAAAGGTCTGGTAGAATTCAGCTGAGAATCCATCTGGTCCTGGGCTTTTCTTTGTTGGGAGACTTTATTATCGCTTCTGTTTCTTTCCTAGTTGCTGGTCTGTTTAGGTTTTCTACTTCCTCTTGATTCACTATTGACAGGTCATATGTGTCAAGAAATGTATGCATTTCTTCTAGGTTTTCCAATTTATTGAAGTATAAGTTTTCAAAGTAGTCCCTAATGATATGCTGGATTTCTGTGGTATCTGTGGTGATTTCTCTATTTTATCACTAATTTTATTAATTTGAGTTTCACCATATTTCTTTTGGTTTATTTGGCTAAGGGTTTATCTGTCATTGCTTTCAGCTTTGATCTTATTTCATTACTTTTACTGGTTTTGGAATTGGTTTATGCTTGTTTTTTTTTAAGGGCTTCAAGTTGTTTATTTGGAATCTTTTGGATTTTCTTGTGTAGGCACTCATTATCTATAAATGTGCCTTTTAGAATTGCCTTCAGAATGTCCCAGGGTTCTGGTATGTTGTATCATTATTCTTGTTTGATTCTAAGAATTTTGTAATTTCTTCTATTACTCATTTATAATTCAAAAGTGATTGTTAAATCTTCATGTGTTTATATAGTTTCTGTAGGGTTTTTTTGGTGTTAATTTTTAGTTTCATTTCATTATGACCTGACACAATGCAAGGAATTTTATTTATTTATTTATTTGTATTGCTAAGAATTGTGTTATGGTTTAGATATGAGGTGTCTCCCCAAATCTCTTTTTTGCCTCAATGCAAAAGGGTTTAGAGGTGAAACGAGTGGGTTATGAGAGCCTTAACACAATCAGTGTTAAGGATTAACTAAGTGGTAACTAATTGTAGGCAAGTAGGGTGTGGCTGGAGGAGGTGGGCCATTTGGGGTGTGCGTTTGGGGTTTATGTTTTGTCCTTGTTGAGCAGAGCTCCCTCTCTGCCTCCTGGTGCTGTGTCCTAGTGGCTTCCTCTACCATACTCTTCTGCCATGATGTTCTGCCTCTCTTCGAGCCCCAAGGAATGGAGCCGGCTATCTATGGACTGAGACTTCTGCTGCAACTGTGAGCTCCCAAATAAACTTTTTCTTCTTAAAATTGTTCTTTTCAGGTCTTTTGGTCATAGCAATGAAAAAGCTGACTAAAACAAATTGCTTTGTGGCCTAAAATATGGTCTATTTTGGAGAAGGTTTCATGAAGCAGCTGCATTCAGCTGTTGTTGGATAAAATATTCTATAAATATTTAATACATTTGTGTTACAAACTTTTTTAGGTCTAAAGAGTCTTTAGTGAATTCATGTGAAGATGAAGTATCTGTTGGTGAGAGAAGTGTGTTGAAATCACCCACTGTTTTATTGTACTGGATCTCTCTGCAGCTTTAATTTGAGTAATGTCTGTTTTATGTTATTAGGTGCACCAACATTTGAGGCATAGATATTTATAATTGTTAAATCTTCTTGTTGGATTGTTCTCTTACCAGAATGAAGTAATCTTCTTTGTCTTTTCTGATTAATTTTGTCTTGAAGTCTGCTTTGCTGGCTATCACAATAGCTACTCCAGTGTGTTTTGGGGCTCCATTTGCAAGGTGTATAAATTTCCATCCTTTTACTTTCAGCCTGTGACTTTTATTGTCTTTAAGGTGAGTTTTTTGCACACAATGTAAAAGTTGGGTCTTGGTTGTTTTTTTTGTTTTGTTTTTTTTTGGGGGGGGCGGGGTGTCTTGTTTTTTAATCCTTTTTGCCAGCCTAAGTCTTTTAACTGGAAAGTTGGGACCATTTATAATCAGTTAATTAGGAAGAAGTGTTTATTATTTCCTGTCATTTTGGTTTATTTTTAATGTTCAATTTGAACCAGTTTCTCATTAGCTGAGTTAACTCTTCAAATTGGATCTGTCCATTTGTGATCACTAGGGTTTTTGATTTGTTTTTATGAAGTATTTCTTTAAGTATATTCTGTAGTGCTGACTTAGTAGTATGAATTCTTTTAGTTTCTGAGTTTCTGCTTATTTTGGAAGTTTTTTTTTTTTTTTGAGTGATAGTTTTTTTGGGTTAGCAAATTTTGGTTGATAGTCATTTTTTTTTTTTTTTCATGTCTTGGAATACATCGATCCAAAGCCTTCTTGGCTTTTAGAACTTGTGCTGAGAAATTGAAGTAATTGTGATTGACTTGCCTCTGAATATGACATGATGATTTTCTCTTGTGGCTTTTTCAATTGTATCTGTGTTTTTTATGTTACATATTTTAATTATAATGTGATGTGGAGAGGTTCTTTTCTGAACTTGTATATTTGAGGTTCTGAATGCCTTCTGTATCTTGGTGTCCATCTTATTCTCAAAGGTTGGGAATTTTTCTGTTATTTTCCTGAAATTATCTATGACATAAGCCTGTGTCTCACAGCCCTCTTCAGTCCCAATGATTCTTAAAATTGGTTTCTTAATATTGTCCCAGATTTCTTGTATATTCTAGTCATGATTACTTACTTATTTTCTTTAATACTGTCTGGTTGTTCAAGGCCTGACACTTTGGCTCCAGCTCTCAGATTCTGTCTACTCTATCAGACTTTCAGCTGAATATTTTATTTT